ACGAACAAACGTATTGACATCGAGATCAGGGAAAATGTGCAGAAAAGCAGATAGAAGACAGCAATTGAAAACATAAATGGGATAAAACGATGGCAAGGAAACAAATTTGGATGATGGGGCGGTATTTGAAATAAACTGGATAACAGGTGAAAACATCAAAACCAAAGCGAGAAAAAACATACCAAGATCACAAGAAAAGTAAGGCAGTGAGAGTTTGAAAATGTGCAGAGAAGCAGATGAAAACAGCAATTGAACTAAATGAATAAATAATACATTAAAGAGATGGGAAAAAGACAAAGCAAGGCGATTTTATAACAAAAATAGAACCATAAGTCTGATGATAATTGAAACTGGAAAACCAATCGCTTTGTTTGATTAATTCTAAAGTTCATGGAATTAAATCCAATTCCATCACCTTCCACTTTTCAACGCGTTCCAGTTCCTTTCATCATTTACTTATCGGAGTAAAATGTTTTCAGTTCCAGTTAAAAATAGTTCTATGCAGAATTTTGACTCAAATCTCCATGTGTATTCGAAAGCATTTGGAAATTGTTGTCAAAAACGTTGCATTGAAAAAATCAAGAAATTGCTATAATTCTATATTGAACAAGCTTTTTAATGTTCTGAAGAAGAGCGTCCCGGAAAATATGACTGAGAGGGGCACTTCCATAGTTTTTTATTTCAAGGGCAGAGTTCAGAGGATGGATCGCCGTAAACAAAGCAGATTTCTCGGCCAAAGGAGAACGAATCCGATCGTGGGGCGCAATAGACTTTATAATTCTAATTTAAATGTTTAAATCAGTCCTTTAAGTCGATTTTCAGTTCCCGTTCAGTTCTTCCGCAGAACTGAACGGGTTCTGATGAGAACAGTGTAAGCGTTGAAGCAAACCACTTCTGAAGATGCAAGCCACTCGTGCTTGCGAAACGTCAAGAAGAAATTATACCTTTTATTATTTTTTAATTATTTAAAAAGACAAAAAAAAAGTTTTTTGGATTTATTTTCTGGAAATATTCAGCTGCAGTTTTTCCGCTACTAAATAAACTATTTTCTCGAAGTTTTGTTCATCCAAAACTCTGCTAGAATATCTGAGGACAAATACCTACACTTTCAAGCTTTCTAAGCTTCACCTAAAACTGGTGGTGATTCTTTTTTGTGCCATAATCAGGTGTTTATTTTTAATTTTAATATTGTAAGTTTTTAAAACACATTTCGGTAAATCGTTGCTCCACAATTTTCCTCCATAAGTCGCAATTACTCCATACCTTTTCCACATCAGGACTAATTTCCATCAATTTCGGTTCCAACTTTCTATGCCGTAGAAATATGCATTTTACCATTTTTTAGTTGGAAATTCCTACCGGTTTCAAGTAAATTCGGTATTTTTTACGTAGTTAGAAATTACAATAATTAGCATTTGCTTCCACAAATTTGGGAAATTTGGCAGAAAACATGTTTATTAATGCGTTTTATTTTTTGAAACTTTTGTTCACATACTTTTAGAAGTTTGGGCTTTTTGG